TATATATATATAATATAAAACAGCAGCCGACATACTCTTAGTCCGTGAGCAAGGTGTATGTGTTTGATATCTGACGACTGATGTGAAGTTTGAAGCAAACTTCTGACAAATTGCAGCCAAAGTGCCAGGATACTCTTCACGGTGTGTTGCCTAGGGAAACCTTTGATTGTTCCATTCATTTTGACAAGGTATAGATTCTTGTGCAAAGGCTCTCCCGATTGTTGAATTACGCCAGCTATCAGCCACTCCCCGCGCTGACGCTATTGACCCTGATCTCAAGCTCGATTATGGCCCCTTTGAAGGCTCGGCTAAGTTGCGTATGTCCATTGCCGAGCTTCACTCGACGCCCGAGGTGCCAAGCAAACCAAACAACCCAATTGGAACAATTTCCCCCAGATCTTTCCTTGAGGAGGTTGTGGCGTTAGCCAAAAGATTCAACATTGCCATCTTCAGCGACGAGGTCTTGACCCCCCTTTTCCATACGGACGATCCAACACCGCCACCAGTTGAGTCGCTGGGATATGAGAATTCCGTCTAGACAGACTCTCTGTCCAAGGCATATGGACTTCCTGGGGTGCGAGTAGGATGGGTGATATCCAGAAACGCTGCCCTTCTGCGCAAAATACTCATAGCAAGGGATTAACCACCATCTCTGTATCACGACTGGACGATTGAGTCGCGGCATACGCCCTTGGCCCCGAGGTGCGTCGGAACCTTTTGAAGCATCATCTGGCTTTGTGTAGGGAAAGCATTACCCTGCTTGACGAATTTGTACGGCGTAACAAACGGTGCCGACGCACCACATGCAAGCCTCAAGGCGGAGGCACGGGATTCATACAGATTCTCGGCAACAACGGGGAGGCTGTTGACCACTCTGAGTTTGGACTTCTGGTTGCCAAGGAGCTGAGCTTGTTAGCAGTTCCGTGATCGTTTTGTTTCCGGGATGAAGGAACGAACGACTCTGGGGGGTATCTGAGGTTTCCGCTCTTGGAGACCCTGATGTTTTGAGAAAGGGCTTACCTCTTTTGGAGAAGGTATTGAAGGAGTGAGTGGTGAACTTGGACGCGACAAGATGCAACTTTCTCAGGCTATTCCCCGATATTGTATATATGCGTCGGGCGCCTGCCCAGTTAGGCAGTGGCTGTTGAATTGGCGAAGTAGTACTTGATTCCAACTCCATGATTTCTGCCAGTCGTAGAATATTGGTATCGTCCAACGGACAGTCGTGTCGGACAGCTAAAATGCTGGCATCAGGTGGCAGGTGCCAACCAGGTGCCAACCTCAGCTGGCAAGCTATATGTTTACCGGTGCCGGCAACACATTGTAGTTGATTCTTTATAAAACAAGACTAGAAATCGAATCCAATTGACCATCAAACCCTCCCCATAGCAAATAGATTTTGCGTCACGCCCGGTTCCTCGATTTGCTCCAAGTTGTGCGGGACTTGTCGAATCCCAGGTATGCATCAAGACAATCACACCACTTTCTGTATCCGCATGCCTCAGTATCTTACAAGTATTATTAGAACTCCCAGATGAATGATCCGTTTAGAGACCATGATCGCAACACCTGGTCGCTGCGGCTCGAAATAGAGGATCGTATTCTCTCAAGACTCCATGGCTTCTACTTCGCCGCCGGTGACACCATTCTGGGGAGCAAGCATGAGGACAAGGCCCTTATACAAGAATTGTGTCCTGAAAATGCAGGAAATAACATCACTTTGGATGTAACCAACTTCATCCTTAGAACCCTTGTAGCATGTAGCCGGAAGTGGCATATGTTGCATGACTTTGGCCCATTGCGTTTCTGGAACGACGTGACCACGCTGGGTAGAAGGAACTCAAACATCCATATTCGGCCCATGAACACTAGGAACCTTATTACGGCTCTAATTAAAGCACGTCAACGATATGTCCTACGACAGAGCGCCATATATCCCGACTTTGTTATGGAAACCGACCTGAAGCTTGGCAGCGACACGGCTGCACAGGCCATTCTCGAACGCGTTTTGGGTTTAGAAGACCCGATCACATTCTCTGGGGACATTTTCAGGAGTCCACTGTGTAGTGAGTCAGAGAAGCGAGACTTGCTCAAGCATGCTATAAATTACGGCCCGGTGAAGCAGATCTCTGGCAAGAAATATCAGCTTGCCCAGGGCGCTCCCCAGAATCTACACCCTATATCGGATCTAGCCCGAAAGCCAGCAATTTTGAACTCGAGAGGGTTTGTGGAACAGCTGGCAGTTGGCCCAACATCTCCCACAGAAGGAGTTGACAATATCACAGCGCCAAAGTCAGTCCCTGCCAAACGAACATCGACGCCAACCCGACGTCATGACGTTAACTTACCCCGTACCGCTAGCGGTGGAAGGGGAAAACCGAGATGTGTATTTGTAACGCCTACCCGATGTAAAAGGCTTGCCCGGGGAAAAGAATCACCATTGTTAGATACGAGCAATGGTAAGAGCACACAACAGAGCAACAAGAGAGTCAAGACTAGCGTCAAGTCAGATGCACGAGAGCCGGCGGCCGAAACACGCTCGCCGACAATTGCGAAATGTCTAAAGAGCCCGTCCAAGGTTCGATCCGGCGTATAGTCGGAAGGTTGCCTGCGACCTACTTGGTACTGCATACTATGTGTTAGCCCCCAATGCGGCTCGTTACAATTGTCAGCAAGGTCGATGTGACTTTAGGGACGGCGATCGGTTCCTGTACTCGCGAGGTCTAACCAAGTTGACGATATATTTATAGTAACAAAGACGTTGAATAGATTATTTGAAATAGCTTCTACCGTACTGATTCGAAGAGTTCTCTTATACAATGCTGTTTGTGCTGGAAAGCTCAACCCTGGTTGAATTTGGCTTCTGAAAAAACACTTACGACGGCCATGTATGTCTGTATTGACCAAGTAGACGCATGCGACGGAGTAGCCAAGTATACGGAGCCAGCAGGAATTTTGACTCATATAGCTCTGTGCCTATGGCCTAGATTGGGACTCGCAAGGGCGTCGCATCTGTCCATGTCGAAGAACCTGGTTCAGTCAAAACCACGTGCTCGAAATTCTGCCACCCTCTGCCTTGCACGAGAACAGCCCACGCGTCATATTGTGCATGGGGGATAATCAGCCGGAGGGTGATTCGCCCGTGACCTCGACGTTGCAGAAGTTGGGACATGGCAGAACACTGGAATAGCTCAACAATTAGACTTAACAACCGGCCCCACGTGCTTACTTGCATATATGTTTTGCCGACGAGCCCGCACCGACTGGACCGGGCCAATAGAAGTGACTTGAATTATCAATTACGAGGTGGATGTTGAACTTGCCAAGAACACGCAAACAAGATCCTGGAAATAGGACGCGGGCAATTGTCTTGTCCGCAGCTCTCCGCACTGGCTAGTGTCTGTGATGGGAAAGCCTGTAGACTAAACCGGACATGGACTCGCGAGGGTGATGGCCAAATCCATGGCCTTTCCCTCCGAGGTCCGTGGCCAATTGGGGATAAAGCGATGTGCACGTTGGGCATGTTCCTGCCGATCATTTCTCAAATCTTGCCGATATTGAAGGCGCCATGGTACAACCGCGGACTGATGCTGTTGACCAACCCCCGCTCGAACAATCTACATTTGTAGACCGAGCCGTCTCCTGAGTCCTCTGGTCCCGCCGGGAGAGGAGGAGTGATCGGAGGTCGCGTGTGCCAGAGCCGGACCGACGCGTGCGGTTTCGAAATACGTGGAAATTACGCGGAAACGTGCATGTATCCGGGGCATTCTGTTGGACGATGCAACCGGTCAATGTAGGACAAGGTTGTGGGGAGAATGCATGGAGGAGATGAGATGGTGATTCTGGTTGATAGGGGGTTGTGAAGAGGGAATTGGACCAGAATCCAGATATAACTATGCTGCTCTTCCTCGCGGCAATAGACATGGCCATGGAGGAGAGTGTCTCAAAGCACATATCTGGCTGTAAAACTCAAAGACATAAGAAGAAGAAAAATGAGGCCTCAGTCCTTGCTTTGCGTAACAAGCCTCCTGGCCGGCACGGCTACTGCCAGCTTCGACGGCAACGTCAACTACGACAGCCCGTCTAGGCGCCATGAGAGCCTGGGCATTGACGTTGGCCTTGTCGAGCGTCGGTCATGGAAGCGCGGCAACGTGGCCCATGAGCCGTCGCAGTTGCACTTCACCCATGGCATTGCCTCTGGCGACCCGTGGCCCGAGAGTGTCATCCTCTGGACCCGTGTTGCCCCTCGAAACGAGTCTGACAAGAGCGAGGCAACTGTCAATGGAACGGCTCCTCTCTGGAGCCATGAGACGGACAAGTATATCAAGGCTGATGCTAACCCCATCTGCGTCGAGTGGAAGGTGTTTCAAAGCAAGCGCGCGAATAGCACCAGCCAGAAGGTTGTGGCTAGCGGCAAGGCATACACGACCTCGGACATTGATTATACCGTCAAGGTAGGAAAGCTTCGTCAGCGGTGTGATTGGAGAGAAGTGCTGATTGTGGTTGTGTCATATAGGTCGAGGCCAAGGGGCTCAAACCCTTGACCACGTACTTTTATCAGTTTAACGTTTGCGCATCTTCCAACAAGAGCCCCGTTGGCCGTACCAAGACTGCGCCTGCCAAGGACGATGCTGTTTCCAAGTTGAGCTTTGCAGTGTTTTCTTGCAGCAACTTTCGTGAGTGATGGGTTTCACTTCCTTGGACTGAAGATGGATCGAGGGCTGACAATGTCTGCAGCTAATGGCTATTTCAACGCTTATGGCAATGCCGCAAGGAAGGATAAGCACGACTATGCCATCCACCTTGGTGACTACCTTTATGAGACTGGAAGGGGTGGTGAGCGTGCTACCAAACCCTCTGGAACCATTTGGACTCTAGGCGACTATAGGACTCGCCACGGGCTGGTTTGTCATTGCTGTGTTCTTGTCGTGATTTTGGTTACTTACATGAGGACAGTATCGAAGCGATGCCGATTTGCAGCTCTTGTCTCAGAACTCCCCCTGGATCACTACATGGGATGACCACGGTAAATTGAATCAGGTGGCATGGCATGAAAGATCGTATGCTGATGTCAGATACAGAGTTTGCAGATAATGGCTACAGGGATGGCTTCAGTGGTCTTAATAACACTGAGGACTCATTCCTCAAGTCTGGTACCAAAGTTACTGTCGATACACGCAAAGTACATGCTGTTCGCGCCTATTTCGAGTGGATGCCAATTCGGTACTATTTTTCTTCTCCTGCCAGATTTCCTGTCAATGGGATAGCTGGGAATGACTGATTGTTGTGTACATAGCCAAACCGATCTCTCTGACGGTCTGCGGGTTTGGCGATCCTTCCAGATGGGAAAGCTGATGGATCTCATAATCCTCGACACCCGAAACTATGACCGGAGCATCACCGACCTTTGTAAGTGCGCTGAAAAAGGCCCAGTTATGAATCAACACACTGATCAACTGGAGACTGGAACAAACACTACATTAGCGAGATTGCAGATGACCCGAGCCGCTCGTTGATGGGAGCACGTCAGGAAAACTGGTTTTACCAGTCTCTCAGTCAGTCCAAGGAGCGAGGTGCCACATGGCGCATTATTGGTAACCAGATTGTTTTCTCGCGCATCCTGCAGAACGACAACCGGGGTCTAAATGGCGACGCCTGGGACGTAAGTCGAGCCTACAGTGATATACCATCAGATTTGTAGGTTGAAGATACAGCTGACGGCGTATTATATTAGGGCTACATTGCCAACCGCAACAGGACCCTGCAACACATGTACGACAACAAGATTGACAACAACATCTTCCTGGCGGGAGACTCTCACCAGAACTGGGTACGTAAATAACAAATATCGGGACAGGAACGGGTGAAGCTGCTGCTGCTGATGCTGATGATGGTATTAGGTGTCTGATCTCGCCTGGCTTGGAAACAAGCCGTACGACAAGGCGACGGGAAACGGAGCCATTGGCGTAGAACTCGCCGGCACGGCCGTCAGCTCCAGTGGTCAAAATGGACCTATCGAGCCTATTGCCGGTGACAGTGCTCGAAGCCTGGTGAAGCGCAACGAAGAGCTTGGGTGGCAGGAAGGCTATTACCGTGGATACTTTGAGTTGACGATTACGCCTGACAAGGCGACTGCCCAGTACTACGGTGAGCCTCGGGGTTGATGATCTTGTTGCCCAACAACGGAGAGCTGGAGGACTAATATGTCAAACGTGATTACGTGCTTAGGCTGCCCTACCGTCGCGACCAGAAACGGCTGGGATCTTCCCCTGGCCAACTTTAGCATTGTTGCGGGCGGGAATCACCTGGAGCGTCCGATTGCTGGTGGGAAGGTCGAGTCGGGGGCGCTGAGAGACGGCCAGGTCAAACATAGCAACTTGACGCTGAATACGAATACCGGCGAGTGGGAGGTTATTGGTTTTGAGAAGATGTACTTGTAGGAAGAAGACGGGGTGGTGCGTTGGAAAATGAGGCTCAATTGACAATTTTTAACATGGCAAAAGCAAAATAAAAAAGCTGGTACTCCGTAGTGTTTGATGCAATTTGGCAGTTGACCAGACTTCATTGACCGGACGGCTTTTCACCGACGGCAGGGAAGCGACCCAGTGCCCTTTCCCAGCCACCTCGTATTCGGGCCAGCCTATGTACCTAGGTACCTACCTACACCCACTATTGACTCTCACTGGGAAACAATGGTTGACCTGTAAGGAACGACCCGTGCACTTGTTTATGATTCTGGTCAACTTCCGCTCGGAATATTCGGTAGCCATCCTCGTCAATGTCAGAGAAGGAATCTGGACCGCTCACATTGCCCAGTGCTTGCTCCGCTACCAGCCTCAAACCTTGACTCAAGCTCCCCGAGATGGTTGGTGTTCGCAGGCCTGTTGTCAAGAGTCGATAACCGGCCTGGTGCCCTGTTTGGCGCGTTTGGGGCGCTGATCCCGGCATCCCGGCACCTCCAAGGGTGCCACTTGACGTCACATATTGACCTCGCGCTTTGCGACAGTCCAGGCTCTCAATCGTGTCGGAGAAATATTCGCGGATGATAGCCGAGACGGAGTTCGGACGGCCATGGCGAGGATGCCCTCTTGTTGGCTTTGTTACGACGCTGGCTCCTTTTCTTCTCAGCCCTCACTCTCCGACGCCTAATCTTCTTTGTTCCCTAATCCGTCGCCTGAGACCATTGTCCTGAACTCGTTATCCTGAACTTGGAGCTGTCGACAGGTCGCATTCCTTGAACATTGACTCTCCTTGCGACGCCTGAGACTAAAAACAGAAGCACAACAAATATTCCAAGAATCCATGTTCCAACATACATAAATGTAAGGCCGGCAAGCAAGCGCATACTCTGTCTGGCCTTTGAAACCTCATTAATCGACGCGCAACACTGCAACACGCATAACTAAGCTCAACAAAAATTTGTCCCTAGATTATAGGAGCGGCCTGGCTTGGCTTTTGGGCCCAAGCTTCAACACTGCCAAATGGCCACCATTGCCCCAAGCCCATCGGCTACACCAGATACCAACGGTGTCAACGGTGCCAGCGGTGCCAGCGGTGCCGGGCAGACGAAATCCGACATCGCCAATCTACCTGATC